TTTAATAACAACTAAAGGTGACATAGATACTTTATTATGGTATAGTATTTAAATATATGCGTGAGAAACACATAATATATTCCCTTTAAATATGTTTGAAGTGTTAAAATAGTTGCAGGGTGGTCACTGGCATCACAAACTCGTCTCAATATAGTTATTCTAGAGCAATGATTACCAAAGTTTAGGTCATGAAACACCAAGTGAGTGTTCCCAGATGATTCCCAGACATCAGTTTAAATGCTAATAAATTGTTAATGAAATGTTTTCCCCATAACTATGGTAAAAAAAAAAAAGATAATTAGATTAGCTTATATTGTTATTAAGCCCATGTTTAATAGAGTTATCAGAAAAAAATTCAGATGTAATATCTGGGCGCACAAGTTTCTGCTGATGCTGAAGCTAAAACATGTGAATACCTCTGGTCTAGAGCACTAGAGCTGTAATTTCACAGCTTTTCCTGTGCAAAAGCTCTTTTTATCAGCGGTGCACCGAATGCAGTTTTCTAGCCAATCAGCAATCTTTAAAAATTCTGACCTGCTGATTTCGATTTTGTCTGATACCAGTTTATTATTTTTTTGAATAGCTGTCACATTCAATGTTCCAATCTTATTTTATTGAGAGACATTGAGCAGTACCCTTGAAACAATACAAACTAGTTTTAACTGGACATTAAGTAGTCCTCTAAATTGAGCTACAGGGATTAGTCACTGGTTTTAAAACCTATGTGGAGGAAGATGAGAAGCCGATTTTTTTCTTACGATCTTATCTAAGCATCGGGCGACCTTCTCAAATTAAGGAAATCGGTGCAGATAAATTATTTGGCCAATATATCGGTGCACCCCTACTCTTTATGACAGAAAACCTTTGAGGATACAACCTTAAATGTCCTGGTTCAAAAGCAGAACATAATAACWAWTAAAAAAAMMCRYCTGTCTATATTTCAGAAGTTTACTCCTGTTGATTAAATCATGATGCTGCTGTCAAGATGGGTACAAATGCAGGCTGAGGCAGGTACAATGTGGACAACAAAATAATGTCAAAAGAAACAATACAGTTTGCAAGCCGTGAACATAATAGTGAGATTTCCAAAAATTGGCTGTGGAAAACACAGCCACGCTGGCCGCAAATGTTGGAATTCAGCGATGATGCAGCAGAAAATGTACCCATTTTCTTGCAATTTTGGCTTTACTTTTTTTTGTTTTATTTCCAGGAAATACTTATGACTGAAAATTTGCCCATTTCCTTGAAATTTTGAGTTGCCAACAGTTGGAGCTCAGTGAAATCTTGCAGTAAAAAAGCTTTGCAGAGGCTGGACACGGCCGCTCACCCAGGTGGGCACAGACTCGTACTGCTTGTGTTGGGAGGAGCACATCCAAGTCATGAGGCTTCACTTCGCTCCGTATCTCTGGATGGATGCCGTGTCCAACATGTTCACAGGAACACTGGCTGGGGTCCGGCCAGCACTGTTTGGACAAACACGAGTGCAGTGGAATTTTGACTCCCTYTCCTTCAAAGTGAAGTTGAGTGATCAGAGAAGTCCCAAAGCTGCTGAGATAATGTTGAATTCATCGCAGGTCTCTGCCGGGAGACTGAGATGGAGTTTATCCTTTTAACAGCCACAGAGCCCAATTATGGAACATCATTAAAGCTCCACCTATTCCCACTGAAAGCCATCTTGACTTTCTTTTCTTCCTTTTCAACATCACATTTTTCTGCCTCTTTGTTCTTTGAAAATGTTCTATTGAGCTGTGAGAGGTCCCTCAGGATGCATCAGCTATAATTAAGGCCGGCCAGCAGTTAACTCTGCACCACTTCACATTCCTCCGTGCCCTTCTCCGTGTCCCAAAAGGTACTGAATGCCTCCTCKACGCTTCCCACTCCCTCTCTCCGAAACCCCTGAATGTCCGAAGCCACTATCTGCATGGCCCTCTCTCTCCCTTGGCCCTCAGCGGGGCCGTTTGGGAACGAGAGATGGGAGGGCGGAGGGGGCGCAGAGGGACAACATCAAAGTACGTCCAGTTSCGAACGTGAGCTGGGATGATTAAAAGCTGAGACTGTTTACACTGCGCTTCCCATACGGGCCCTCTCTTCCCCCTCCCTCTAGACTTCCTGTCCGAACTTCCTATCTCCCTGGATGAGATAAC